TTTAAAAATACATTTACAAATATTTGCGCTTCAAATTTTAGCATATTGCATTGAACCAAGTTAGAATTTCGCTTATACAATTTCGCCAAAAATGCGCAAAACGCGCCTAAAGAAGTTTTCACTTCAAAAATAAATTATAAAATTAAGGAAGTTATATTTACTCCTTACACGAATAACACAAGAAACTTCCCAACCGAAGAAAAAATAAGAAGGAATTATATACTTTCAGTATTTTGGATTCCTGATAGAAAGAGGGAATGAGGTTGGTTTGTCAGGATTGTGTTGGTAATTGAAGACGAATTCTCTGCGGTGCAGTTGCCCTGTCCCTGGGAATGAACAATGTAGAAATAGGTTCGGTCCCCAGTGCCCCAAATGTTTTCCTCTCATGGGGTTCGTCTTGGAACGAGGGCCGCCAATCTCGTAGCTCCAGCCTGCAAGTCCCAAAACAAAGCAACCAACTTCATCTCATCAACACAATATATACAGAACTATACAAATTTTTATTCCTGTGACAAACAAAGGTAGCACGCACACCTTTTGTGTTTTCAAAGTAAAGTAAAGCGGCCAACTTTGAAATATGTTTATGAATGAGCGAATGAAAAATAATTTTTATTCTCTGACTGGTTCTCTCAGAATAATAGGTTTGGGAGGATTACACCTACATTCATCAGCTAGTAAACTATATAAACAGAGTAACAAGATCCTAAACTGAAGAAAATAAATGGTAACAATTGTTGTAGTATAATATATAATAACATATATGTAATTATGAATATACTCCTATAGATCTCAAGAAGAGATTGGAAGAAAAGGATAAATTATGTGAAATAATAGACACAAAGGGATGTGAAGAAAGACAGGAAAAAAATTAAATAAATAAATAAAAATAAAAGAATATAATGTGTTCAGCAAGGAGTTTTAGTTAAAACTGGAAAAGCTTAGGTAGAGCACATTATAATAAAATATATTTTGTCGTTTATTTTTATTTTACAAGTAGTATTATAAGCCATCGCTATTTTTTAAACGTGACTAAATACTGTTTACATCGATGGAGTACATGTTAAAATTAAGTATCGGAAGAAATCAGGAGAGGGGCCATGCTTCGCATGTTCAAGACAAATTATATTTCGGTTTTGCTATATCCTTGCGAGACTTGGAAAGCAGTTGACCAAGAATGGACAGACATTCGTTAATAGATGTCTGCGGAATATACTGCGAATATGGTGGCCTGACACAATCTCTAATGCCTAGCCATGGTCACGCACTAATCAAATTCCCGTTAGATCAGGTCATTAAACATCATAAATGAAGATGGTTGGGGCAGACGCTTAGAAAGGAACATAACGATATAACGCGACAGAGTCTAGATTGGAACCCCAAGACTAGCGAAGGCTCGGACGGCCTATAGAAACGTGAAGGAGGACTTGCGGAAGGAGGAAATGCGCAGCGCCGGACAGACCTGGTCTGAAGTCAAGGAGCTTTCCAAGCTAAAGATCTAGACGCATGGCAGACCTTCGTGGCGGCCATTCCCACCTAAGAGATTCTACGAACTAATAATAATAAATATTGTTTACATCGATGGAATAGATGATAAAATTAAGTATCGGAAGATTCCAAAAATCCCTAATCCCTCAAATTAGTTCATTTTCCTGCAGTAATGTACTTTACCTATTTTAAGAGTATTTTTAAATAGATGACTTGAGAGCAGCCGAGAAATAAATGTTTATTTATATAAAACTTTATTTTTATTTTTATTTTCTCCTTAAGTATAAACTCTTAGGCCTTCTTAAGGTAGGTAGACAATCTATAGTCGATTTTCGAAAAATAAGAATTTAAAAATGAAGAGAATAATTCAAAATGAAACTAATATGACAGCTAACGCTAGAGGGTCCAGAGATAAAAAAAAATGACAACGAAAGAGAACGTTCTTTTTTATTTTGGACCTTTTTTTCTTGTCTCATAGTTTAGAGTCTTGATAGTAAAATGTATATAATTATCATGAATAAGAATATTCATCACATAAGTGTTGTATCAATTTAAAATATACTCCAAAAATTGTTTGCTTGTTTTTTTAATATTGAAAAAGAGTTCGTTTCATTTAATTTGTTTTGCAATATAGACATATTTTAATTATTTTTTTTTGTAGATGCTAATATGTTCTATTATTCGAACATTGGCTTTTATCTTTGATTTAATGTAGAATATTTATTGATACCGTATTAGTAACTGCATGATTTCAAGTAGCTGTTGTTATCATAATATAAATTAATATAATTAATAAATGTAAAAAAGATCATTTATCGAATACCCATTATAACGGGGATTATGAATATTACAAAGTGTAGAAAATAAAAATATTAGACACTACACGGATTGCAATGAAATTAAATTTGAATTAAAATTATTTAAATAGAGAAAATATTTTTGCTACTGGTAATCCTAACTTATGACGCAGAGATCCTATAATATAGCAATGCGGTTAAATGTTTAGGGATGGTCAAAAAAATAAATCTATGTATATTATAATCAGAGTATGAAGTAATATTGAGTGGTATTTTATTTAAACACATTAAAGACAAGTAGGTGTTGATGGCCTGGAGATTTTACGCTTATAAACAACAACAAACAAACAATATAAGTCATTAGAAAGTTTTATTTTTGTAAGAAATTTAGAAATAAAAAAATTAAATAAATTGGTGATTACTATATTTGTTGTAATCTGCCTATTTATAGTTTACTATTATTTTTATTTATTTAAAAATAATCGATGTCAATAATTCTTCTTTTTATGATTTTCGCTTATAAGAATAATTTAGGTTTTCTTTTCTGTACTATTTTATTTTTATATGGTTAGCTGGAAAAATGGCGATATTGCTGGTGATATCGATTTAGAAGGTAATATGTTTGAACAGGTAGAGAATTTTAAGTATCTAGAATCTACGGTAACTAAAAAAAACGAAATTGAAGAGGAGTTTAAGGTTAGGCTGAAGGCGAGAAATCCTTGTTATTTTTCTGTGACAAAACTACTTAGCTCGCGGATCTTGTCCCGGAATTTAAAGACTAGTATCTACAAAAACCATTATCCCATCTAGAGTTGTTTATGGATGCGAAACGTGGTCGCTTACATTAAAGGATGAGCAACGTCTTAAGGTTTTTGAAAATAAAATAATGCGTAGAAAAATGAGTTAACCGAAGAGTTCAGAAGGTTGCACAACGCCGGGTTGCGTGAACTGTACCCAGTTAATGTAATTGAGGAGATTACATCGCGGAGAATCAAATTGGCTTGTAAAATTGTTGGGCTTAGTAACGAAAGAATTCCCTTAAAAATTGATATTTGCTGCACCGAACGGTTAACGTCTGAGAGTTAGACCGAAGATTGTGTTAAAATGGTGAGAAGATTGTATTAAAGCCGATCTGAAGGGACTGGGTTTGGAGAGAGATGTGTAATAAGCGATTGGTGGTGTCGGCATCAAACTTCCGGGTTCCCTAAGCGTTTTATTGTTATTGTTATTTTATTTTAGTGACGAATATTTTGTTACAATTTTCATCAGTTTTTTTTTTAATATGTGCATTTCTATACATCAATTTTAGTTATATAAAGTAATCTGTCTTCGGCCAAAATCAATCTTTATTTTTATTGTACACTACGGTTGTTCTTAAGGAACTTTCTTTTTTGCTTTGCAAATATTCAGTCTTATTCTGTTTTGTACTATTCTATTTTTATATACTTACATTATTAAATTGGATTATGAAAGTTCGTTATTTCTATGTCTTTATTATTTTTTTTATTGTTATTAATTTTTCATTATAGCATACCTTTATTAAATATATCTCATTATTCTCTGTAACAGAGAATTCCTGATGCCAAAAATTGCCGACGCTAAAGGTGGAAAATCTTTAAAAGTGCTAAATCTTACTAAGTTCAACAGGAATTTGACTCGAACTTTCTTATCTTCCTTGGGCGGCTCACGACTTACTTTACCAGCGTAGCTTAATCTTCAGTATCTCACACAGTTAAGGAACAACTTTTGGTTTAAAATATCGAATGAATGTAATATATTATAAATATTTACTTTCTGATATGAGACATTATTATCAAAACTGACACATATAAATGTTCATTATTTTTATGAAAATTGTTTAATTACGAATCACTTAAAAATGATTTAATTTAAAATACGAAAGGAATAATTATGTTTTATTCATGCTCTTTATTCTGATGTTTTGACTCATATTATTTTTTTTTTTGCTTTTATAAAATAAAATGTTAGAGATGTGTCTCAGCAATTGCGAAAGATACGCAGAAAAAAAATAGAAATTTACATACTCATACATCTTACAAGCATAAGTCACGGACCTAGGATCACCGATTCCAAACAACCTTTTTTTAGTAACACTAGATCTAGAAATAGACCCATGTTCGACGATATTCTCTTTCTTTACCGTTAAACAAATTGATATATGTGTTTTTGCTCATCGAATAGAAAATTCTTGAATACAAATTTTCATTGCACTCGAAAAATGGTAATGTTTTTCGCTCAAATTTTATGCCTTAATTTTTTAGGATGGATCCTTCGATTTTTTTTTTTCAAACACCAAAATTCGATGACTTCATCATGGTTCTGGATTTAGAGCTCTGTAAAATACAGGAAATGTCACAAATCTTACCCAGGTAAACCAATTTGAACTGGAGATATAAAAAAGAAACTTTTGAAATCGGCAACCCTACGTACAATAATCTCCTCCTGTTATTTTTAATATATTCCATTATTTAAATGTTTTATAACTGTATTTATTTATATTTATTTTCGTTTTGTTTATTCATTCTCTAAGGTAGGTACTCATAGTTTGTAAATTATTATTCTTGTTTGTAAATAATTTACATTTTTAATGACCTCGTTTAATATTGCTTTCGTTACTTGACTTCGTCTTTTCTTTGTTTTTTTTTAGATGAAGGGAGTTTGTTTGGAATGTTGATTTTAAAAGAAGCATCGCTTAATCAGGCTGCAGGCGTTTCATGTTTAAAGAAGAGGGTAACGTATACATTGATATATTTATAATTTTTTTTTAAATTATTATTTCTATCTTCTTTACAGGGTATTCAAATATACTAATTTTTAAAAATACTCAATGAAAATAACTCTAGTGATTTCGTATTACTTACAAGTTTATTTTCTGTACTCTTTTCAGGAATTATTAAAAATTATGAACAAAGTAAAATTTAAATATTAAAATTGTCCCTTAGAAATTATATGAGACTTGAATTGCTTTAAATAAATGCTAACTAGATATAGACAACCTTAAATTTGGAAAGATGATTAGTAATATAAAGAAACGTTAATGTTTATTTAATTCGTTCATTCAAGCACAAGTGAGATCCAAATTAACGTGTTTGTCTTTTACATCAATTCAGCGTATCAGTGTATACTTCATTGTCTCTTTCATTTTCAAGTCAAATTTTAAAAAATTGTTATTTCGGTAAGTATGGCTAATAAGAATCTGAATAAGACCTTACACCATGACCTTGACATCTCATTTGTCCTTGACATCATCCCATTCAGATTCTCAAACTTTCACCAGAACCTTATCCATCATCCAAATCCTGTAGCTCAATCCCTATTCATCGCCCATCATTCCTACAATCCTCCACGAAGGATAAAACGGCAGTGGCTGAAATCTTTTGTAAATATGCTTCTGGAGTCCTGGCAATGGTCATCTTCTCCACTCAAGTCCTGAGCATCTGCGGCTCTAGTGCCCCCTTCAGTCTCCATTGGCCTACCAGTGACGCGGCTGGAAGAGAGGCACTGGAATCTCCAGGAGTCCTGCTTTGCCTTTCACTTTTTTAGGACAAAGCTTGGCTCAGAGTTCCCTGGGCAAATGTAAATATTGTACATAGTAATGAAGTTGATTTATTTTTTTTTTACTTATTGATTTATTTCTTATTTCGCTTATGTATTATTTATATATGTTATTCTATTTTTATATTTACTTTACCCATTTATTTTTACTTATTCATTTCAATTTTTTATTCCCCTATTATATGTATATATGGTACTTAAATGCTGAAATCGCTGGCAAAGTATCCTAATGTTTTAGTCAACTGTTAATTATTATTATTAGAATTAATTAGAATTATTTACAATAACAATTATAAATGATTATTTATACAAACACGGACTCGCCGACATATTAACAATAACATACTGACACTGAATTTACGCCCGCTAGTACCAAATATTTATCTTGGTAATGTAATCAGTGTTGCCAAAATACAAGACCAAAACGAGAATTTTGCAGTTATAATCCGTGGTACAGACCACTTTTTATCAAATTATTAACGTCCGGCTGTAACTTCGTAAATAGCTTCATTCATCGTAACCTAGAAATATTTTATTTATGAAAATTCTAGGAATTGTGTCGTTTTCAATGTGGAGGTTGGAAAACGTTATCTATTTAATTAGGGACTAAAAACTCGTAAGTACTCATCTGCTTTCCACTTTAATCTTAAGATAACTTGAGCATAAAGTCGAGAAAAAAGATGACCTTCAAAAACATTGAGCCATTTGGCCTTTATAACCTCGTTATTTTGAAAATTTAGGGGTGTAGGTTACACCATACGGCTCAATATTTTTGAAAGCCACCGTTTCTTTCGACTTTGTGCTCAAGTTATCTTACGATTAAATTGGAAAGCAAATGGGTGTTTACGGGTTTTTAGTGCCTAATTATATAGACAAAGTTTGCCGACCTCCATCTTGAAAACGCCTCAATTCAGAGAATTTTCGTAAATAAAATATTTGTAGGTTACGATGAGATGAAGCTATTTACGAAGTTTCAGCCGAATGTTAATAATTTGATGGGAAAGGGTCTGTAAACGGCCTATTACCTATTAGCTTATTGCTATTTATCAAATATGGTACTTCAGATCTTAGAAAAACTTTAACATTCTATTTTAACTATTTATTTATAACTTTTAGAAGTACGTTACAGACTACGTTGAAAACGTTACAGAATTGGTAAATTTAGATGATTTATGGACATAAACTTAGTAAATTCCAACCAAATTAATAAAATTAACATGATAATACATTAAAAGTATTGTCTAGAAAGACAAGACATACCCCCCGCCATGGAAGGAAGTGTTGTAGAGTTAAGACAATCTATGAATTTCCTAATATGTGGAAGAGAGTAACTATTAAAATAAAACAAGGCGGTAGTATTGCTAGGTGACCCGTTGTATTTCCCTCCCTCTTAACACTTTTCCTCTGGGAATTTTTTTTTTTTTTGTTAGCTCTGTAATAGTGGACTGAGTCTAAATTAACAGTTAAGAAATTAGGGCAACTAGTATTTTAAATTATGTCTAGTTATAATAATTAGTTATTTGTAATTGCAGAATAATACTAATAATTATTTTATAGGAGTTATACAGATTTTTTTAATATTGTTGATAAAAACGAAAATGGCATTCAGTGAATTCATATTCTCTCAGAACCTGGTTAAGTAAGGTGACAAAGTATTCATTCACCTGTCCTAGCGTCCCCGCACCTGTTTCAGATATTCTCTAAGACAGACTTGATAAATTTGCAGCATTATAAGTAATGGTAGCTGGGAGAGTCTGGGCCCTGACAAATGGAGTCTCTTTCATCATCAAGTCCAGATTGGATTGTGACCACCACATCTGTTTCACTTCCCAACTCCATTCATAAATCACTGCATTTTTACCATTTAACTCGCTAACAATAGAGCCAACTCTATCTATTTTTGCCATTATTAATATTTAAAACTAATCATTATAGTAAAGCAAAGAAACGTCCTTATTGAAAGAAAATATTGAGTGTGAATAAGTTCCCGCTGTTTTTATTTACAGAATTTTCGTTTACTTACCTGCATATGGCAACACTCAAACCTGCCTTATTCAAGATCTAATCCTTTGATTAAAAAACTTACTTTCTTGATCTGTTTATTCCCCGATCCTCTTTACATTCTTTCACCACGAGAATCCATCCCACAAATCTGTTTATTACTTCTGATAGAACTGTTTCCTTAAAAAAATCTTTTCTCATAAGCACTCTCTTGTTTTGGAATTCCCTACCTACTTCCGTCCGCAAATCCTCATCCTTAACCTCATTCAAACACCATTTATTTATCCTCAGCAATCAATCTTCCGAATATATGTAAGAGTAATATTTTTATGTTTTTTTTAGAGCTGTTGCCTTATTTTATTGTCTTCTTACAGATACTTATATAACCCATTATCTATGTGTAAACACACTCTCATCCATATACCTATAATTAAAATTTTAACTTGTGCCTTTCTTTATTTTAATATAAAGACTCAACAGCGATGTAATTTAATTAACAACAAGAAGATGATTAACTTGTATGCTGGACAAATGTCGATAAATTGTTCATTATAATTATTCCTATGCGGCTGAATGCCCTAGAATAAAATTTACTTTTCATTCATTGATTTGTTTTCGGATTATCAGCCTGTTTCAAATCCTCAAAGTTTAGAGGACGTTGTTCATATCTCTTCAAAACATGGAAAATTTCGAAGCCTCAAAAAATTTTTACGAGGAATTTAATTACACTATTTTTTTGTCAAATGAACAAAAACAATTTTTGTGAAAATGAACAATCGTATAAATGAATTATATGTTTACATACAAAATGATTATATAATCCATCAAAACACATTTGATGTCATTATTAAAAAAAAAAATTTCTTTTAAATTAACATGACATATTATAAAACTCATAACATTCTTTTTCAACAGCCAAATCTAAAATAAAACCATTTAAAATAAAAAATATTAGGAATAAGAAAAGGCCAAAAATATAATATAATATTACTTTAAAAAAACATAATAATTAGTGTTTATTATATAATTTAGCTGTGAGTTGTCAAAAACTTCCTAACAAAATACTGAACCCAAAACACTTCATAGGTGATAGTGGTACATGTTGGTACACGTAGTACTTGGTTTTTCTTTGTTGTTTTTTTCATGAATAAATATGTTTCGCTGATGCTGCTTATGCCTCCAATGCATTGGAAAGAAAGGTTGCAATATAATATGAGGGTTTTCTTTGCTGTATACTTGTTTTGTTTTTAATTTAAAAAAAATGTTTTGTTCTATATTTAAATCATCTGAGAAAATTTTGAGGTCAGTTAGTAGTATACACAGTGTGCTCTTTAATTATATGATCGTTCCTATACATCATGACTGGACTATTTAGTAGCAAATAATAATGGGATTATGGCGTGTTCTTCTCCAACAAGTGGAACTCTTGTCACAGATGGAGATTGAGAATTTTCGTCCCACCATTGTAGCCTAAATGTTCCAGCTAGTAGATCACATCAAGTTGTAATGAGAATATGCTGGATCGATTCCGGCAGCGCGGTCGAGCATAAACATTCATCAGAGGTGGTGATATAAGAACACGTCTCTCCTACCATCCCGCGGTGATAACTTAATCTCAATGGCACTAACAAAGCCATCTCTTCCAGCTATTATCCGTTCTACTATTTCCTTGTCAACAGCCCTTGGTTTCAAACTCTATCATTAAAACGTTTATATTTCTATTCTGAAACCACTCTCACACTATTGCGATTTCGTCGATTTTTCTGAGGACATTATAATAACTTATGTTAGAAAAAAATATAAGTTAAAAAAAATTTTATAAAAAAGAAATTCAGTTCTCCTTAAGGGTGCTTCTCAATTTCATCACCCTGATAGAAATCAACTGGATTTATCATTACTCATAAGAGAAACAGTTTAAACCATTTTTTCTCCTACTAGAGGCGTAAGATATATTCCTCATTCTCTAAATTTTAATAACACTTTCATTACAATTTATTTTATACTTCATATACGATATTTTTTTTAATTTACTCTATCAGAATTATTACCACACAATTAAAATTATAATGATAGATAAAATATAGCTATAACATATATTATCTCATTTTTTATTATTAAATTTAAATAATTTTTGTAGACTGAAAAAATCGTCTGCATCTTATTTGTTTAGGTTT